TAATAAAAAATAAAAGCCTGAATTTGAACAATATTAAGGCCTAAGAATTAATAATGTCGAGTTCTAAGAATTAATAACATTGAGGTCTAAAAATTAATAATGTTGAAGTCTAAGAATTAATAATATTGAGGCCTAAGAGTTAATAGCATTAAAGTCTAAAAGTTTATAATATTGAGGCCTAAGAGTTAATAACATTGAGACCTAAGAGTTTATAATGTTGAGATCTAAGAATTAGCAAAAAATTAGAAACTTGAACCCGGTCACCAACAAGGTCTTATAAACTAAGGCCTAAGAATTATTAACGTTGAGACCTAAGAATTAGCAAAAAATTAGAAACTCGAACCCGGTCACCGACTGGGTCTTATAAACTAGTGGAGTTTACTAAAAGGAATGATAGTGGTGATATACATGCTGTTGGTTGCCATTATGAACATGGAATTGGTGATGAAAAAGTTGTAGAAAATGCTGATGAGACATATAGTCTTGGATGTTATGATAAAAAAATGGATAAAGGTGATGAACATATAACATTCATGTACCATGCTTCTCTTGTATATGGATGAATAAAGAAATGTAGGAAGATGACAAACAATTATGCTAAAAGCCCCACAAAGTTACATTATATGAACTGAGGAAAAATCACAAAGGGTGATGCAGTAAATATGAGGTACAAAATGTCAAGTAGCTGAAAGCCTAATAATAGTAAAAATCATAGTATTTTCAGTGTTGGTTGAGGTGATTGGATCATATAATTGGATGTAATAGACTGGTGAGTGTGAGCCATCTTGAAGTACAAAAGCTGAATGACTCGATATGAGTAGTGCATTCTTTAATCAACTAATTTTTTAAGAAAAACTTTTCAAGACTATGAATAATGAAGTACAATTTTTATTGCTATAGCTAAAGACTTTTTTAAAGAGACTAATGATTGCATGAAAAAGCTTAAATTAGAACTGGTAAGTACAAAAGTATGATTAAATGAATTTTATATAAGGGAGAGTCCCCAGACACTTATCATTTTATGTGAATTTGCACTTACAGAAATCATGTGCAAAGGTACATGCATACGTATATACTTTAAGCATGGTAAGTACAAATTCACATGAAATGGTAAGTGTTCGGAGACACTCCCTTTATATAAATATAGTATTACAAGATTATATGGTAAGAAATTTAAAATATATGAATTTACTTAATTATTAAGCAAGCTATAGTAATAATTACTAAATTATATTTTGATTTTACAGATATATTATGGTGGTATAATTCTATTTGATAAAGTTTGATGCATCTACAATCCTTGGTCTTTTAGCTACTACTAGCAAATTTGGTCTTGAAGAATTAATTAATACTGTACAATCACGATCACAATTGATTAAGAATTAAAATATATTATATGATTTATTACATATATATGGATTTATTTAAGATATAGAAATTAATTAATAATGTTTCGGTATATGAATAGCAGAAGCCTTTATAAGTTTTTTAAAAAAAATTTTAAGATCTTATCTAATGATTTAAATTATATTCATTTTGCAGGATTTATTTATTGGACTTTTACAAAAGTAATATCTCATGAATTATCTGATAAGAAATATTTATATGATTGTAACTCGAATACTTTACTGAATTGCTTTAATTCTAATTTACAAAAATCGATTGCTTTATATATACATTAATTTTGCTTCGTTGCTTATATGATTTGTGTCATGTTTATACACTAATATGATACAATTGCTTACTATACTAGATATGCATTAATTTGAAATGTTCATAAGGGCTAATTTGAGACCATGATATAGGACTTTTTTAATGTTAGATATTTCTATTGTAGATATTTCTGAAAATGAAATAAAGATTTAAAATATATTTTATTAAATGTTTTAAAAATTTAACATGTCTATAATAAAACATCTATTTTATGAAATAATAATGATTATATTTAAACAGCTTTAGATTTAAGCTAATAATAAATAAAAATATTTTTATTAACATAGTTATATAAAGAAAAAATTAAATATTTTATATACCAAATATCTAATTACTCATTAACAATTTCGATAGTTTCAGTATTGATTTCAAAAATAAAAGTCATAATACCATATTTAAAAGATTTTCTCTTCTCTTTCTAACAAAACTTAACCTCTTTTTCTTCAATTGTATTGTCATCTAGATTTACTTGATTAAAAACTGCATAGGTTTTTGAACCTATTTTGTCAATTGTCTTTCCTCATTTTTCAAAATTAAACAACTTTGCAATTCTTTGATAATCTTGTAAACCTTTAAATATACAACTATATCTTCTTTGATAGTGTATATATTGAAAACCTTCTTCTTTTCGAAAATAAAATGCAAAAATATTTTCAGAGCAGGGAAACTCTATAAGCTTTAAGCCTTGAGTAGAATGGTGAGAAGTTAATCGTTTTTGTACAAGATTTATAAAAGTAGAACAAAACTGTTGACAATCTGAAAAAAGAGGAGTATAAAGAGGATAATGATTATGAAGTGATTTATTATTTTTATGTTTTGTTATTTCATGAGTTTTTAATGAGCCTTTATGTATATAAGTTTTCAAACAAAAACCACAATGAAGTAAATTAGAAGTTGACATGATACAGTGAAAATTGATGCTAAAAATAAATAGGATTATTATTTTTCTAATATGTTACGATTTTGTCACAACAAATTAATCGGCATGCACAACAAATTAGCCCATATGTTACTCATGAAATCACAGCTGCTTATTAGGTTAAATTCATTCCTGGGCTAATTTTACCATAATACGGGCTTATTTTTTTAAAAAATAAGCCTGTATTATGATAAAATTAGAAATCTTTTAAAAAAGATTTCTATTTTTGTAATAAAAAAATTAAAAGGTTAATTTCGGCCAGAAATTAGTAAACAATTATGTAATGCGGGCCAAAATTTTGAAGATTCTCAGCTGTTAGCCAATAAAATCGAGGATCTACCACGCGAGGTATCTAAGTCATATGTGTACAATTTAAAATTTCAGAAATTGGGATATTTAAATTAATTTAGTGTAATAAATATGTTTGAAAGGGTTAAATTAATTACTATATATTGTTGCTTAAATTTACTTATTTTTTTATTCATTACTTTGCACTATCAATTATTTCATTCCAACTGTGTTTCTACTATTTTTATTACTGATTATAATTGTACTTAACATCGTTATACTATATTGCTATCTTTTTATATCCAGCTTATATTTATTTTTAACTATAATTTTGATGAGAGATTTAGATTACGCATAAGAATTATAATGTGTAGTACATGGGTTATAGGCAGACATTCGTATGATTGGTTGTTTAAATCAATTCAACTTTACATTATTTATACAGTTTAAAGTACTTTTTTAAAAAAAGAAAACTACTACGAATAAACAAAAAAGAAGTATATAAAAAGTTTTATTAGGGTTGTAGAACTCCACTATTAAAAATAATAAAAATTCTTATTGGTTTTAGAGAAGTTAGCATGGTGATAACCTAATTTTGAGAAGTCACTATTATGCTAACTTCTCTAAAATAAAAAAGAATTTTGATTATTTTTAATAGTGGAGTCCTACAACCCTAATAAAACTTTCTATATTCTTCTTTTTTGTTTATTCGCAGTAGTTTTCTTTTTTTAAAAAGTACTTTAAACTGTATAAATAAAGTAAAATTAAATTGATTTAAACATCCAATCATATGAATGTCTGCCTATGAGTACATGGATAGGGGACAAGATAAAAAAAATAAAATACGATTAGACAATCTAGCATACTTGTTACAGTAAGTTATATAAATTTACTAATCTGACAGCAAAACAGGTAAAAATTTATGCAAAAAGTTGTAACCTCTGCAGATCATAACATATGTAAAATCATGAGAAATCAGCTAAATATTTTAATTCATAGCGAATTTTAAAGATTTTGAATAAAATATAATATAGTTTATAGTTGTTAAACAAACTCTTTTTTGCTTAATGATGAAAGACAAAACCTAAGCCCCAAAATTTCCAAAATGACGAAACTCCTGACAAAAGACAAAACCTCAAATTCCACTGATGAATGTTATGTCAGCAATACAAAAGATTAATACTGATCTTTAAAGCATATCGATACCCTGATTCTTTTCTTGATTTGACAATCTCTATTTGATCTTCAAACTCGGAAAAAGATTTAAAAATTATTTTTTGTTCCTCGGGAACATAAGTTATTAAATTTATGTTCCCAAAAAATTTTAATGTTCCTATACTAAAAATAATAAATATATTTTCTCTCTCTCTATCAATCTCTATAGGAACATAAATTATAACTTTTATGTTCCTACTTTGTTCCTAAAAAGGAACATAAATTTTAAATCTAGTGTTCCTAAATTTTTTTAATGTTCCCGGGAACATTGGGAACATTAAATCTTTAACACTGGTAATACCCATATATATATTATGGGGGTTTCATTCCATTTCCATATGTGATCTATCCAAACTTGTAGCTCTTAGGTGAAAGCTTTATTATTGGATTCCAGCCGTTTTCTTTTAGATGAGAATTCTTGTCACGAAGTATAGTATATAGACGTGCTTGTAAAATACTATCTTTTAAAGATGTAAGTTGATCTATTAACCGTGTTAGTTTGTTTATTATTATGGGGATTTGGCGTCGGTTAAAAATATTGATGAATTTATAATAAAGGTATTCTATCTTTTGTACTTGTACGGCAAGAGTCATTCGTCTAGTTTTCATAACAACTCCTAAAAACTCTATTGATCTTGTAGGCTCTAATTGTGATTTTTCATAATTTTATACAGAACCCAAATTTCTCTAACAAGTCAATTACAAAATCTTATTCATCCTCTGCCTTTCTCTTAGTACGTAATACTATTAATACGTCATCATGATATGTAATAATTCTTATCCCTCTTAATTTTGCTAACTCTATTATAGGCTCTAAGATCTTTGTAAAAACCCATGAGCTGGTCAAAAGTAAACATTGAAAACAGTATCGCTTGGAATTAAAGTCAAATGTGAAATATTTTTGTGCATTTGAATGAAGCAGGATGTGATAAAAAGCTTTTTTAAAGTCAATAATAACTATAATATTTTTTTTTTGAATTAACCTTTTACTGAATCTATTCTTTCCATTTCAAGCTGTTTACGTTTTATATATCTCTTAAATCGATATAATTACCAGTCTTCTTTGGGACAAACCTTACATTAGAAAGCGATTTCTGAGAAATGACATATTATTCCTGCTTCAAGTAAACATATTTCTTATTGTTGTAGTTTTGAATATATATTCTAGGTGACTTTGTCCATGTTCTCAAAGAAAAGAACATCTTTTCCATCTGGGGTGTAGCCTCTTCGAACGAGTGAAATATGATTGAAATTTGTGGAATTTCCTTGCATGTGTATTCTATTAGTGAAATCAGTTGTTCGTTATTTTTTAGGGTTAATATTGCAAATATGGCAAATATTATCGGCTTTATTTGGTGTTTAACATTCTTATACATAGCATTTAATTTACGAGAAATTTTATAAATAAAGCGATAGATCTTAGGATATTTGAACTCAGAGAAAGATTTTTTAGCGCAGGAAATTAGAGCAGGAAAGACTGATTAAATATACAGAGCCGACCATATGGGATCTTTGCTAGGAAAATCACCGGGATTTTCCGATCGGGGTAATTCGGAAAAGCTAAGACCAGAATGCCAGTTCTTATTAATATGTAAAGTAAAAAGATGTTTTACATATGAATAAGAACCGGCATTCTGGTCCAAGCTTTTCCGAATTAGCCCGATCGGGAAATCCCAAAGGGTGATTTTCCTAGCAAAAATCCTATATAACAAAAACAATTCATAATATGTATCATAATTAGATGTTAAGCATAAGCAATATCGTTGTAATCTGAATAGGACCCCGGATAATGCTAATAGAGGTACAAGTTAAGTGATAGTAAATCTTTAGACATTTTGTCCACTTTTTTGGCCCAAACATTTTAAATTCTGCCCAAAATTAAAATTAAAATTTAATTTTACCAGAATTTAGAAAAGTTTGGGCCAAAAAAATGTCCAAATTTAATAAAAACATGTCCAGTTTAGTACTCTTACTCTTTTGGAATTATCTGTGGTCCTAACTGAATACAATAGACTTATTGAATATTCTACATTCAAAAATAATATATAATAATAGAGATATTTTATTAATTTTCAGTAAGGATTTTTAGCGAGAGCACTAGAGTTTCATTATTATCTGAAATTTCAGCAATCTGTTTTTTTTTTTTTAGCAGAAGCACTAAGGTTTCGTCTTTGGTCAGTGGAATTTGAGGTTTTGTCTTTCATCAGGGGTTTCGTCATTTTGGGAATTTTGGAGCTTAGGTTTCGTCTTTTATCATCAAGCAAGAAAGGTTTCGTCTAACAACTATAGTCTATATTATATTTTATTCAAAATCTTTAAAATTCGCCATGAATTAAAAATCTACTAAAATTGGATGATTTCTCGTGATTTTACATACATCATGATCTGCAGCTTTGCTGTCAGATTATACGTATGTAAATTTATATAACTTACTGTAACAAGTATGCTAGATTGTCTAATTGTTTTTTTATTTTTTTTACCTTGTCCCACACCTGTGTACTACACATTATAATTCTTATGCATAATCTAAATCTCTAGTCAACATTATAGTTAGTTAAAAATAAATATAAGCTAAGTATAAAAAGATAGCAATATAGTATAGCGATGGTAAGTACAATTATAATTGGTAATAAAAATAGTAGAAACCCAGTTAAAATGAAATAATTGTTAGTGCAAAGTAATGAATAAAAAAAAAAATACGTGAATTTAAGCAACAATATACAGTAATTAATTTAACTCCACAAAAAAAATGAAGTTTTAGCCCTTTCGAACATTAATTTATTATACTAAATTAATGTAAATACCCCTATTTCTGAAATTTTATGTTGTACTCATATGACTTTTCTGGTTTTTGTATTGAACCTAGGTGCCTCACAAAAAATGCGCGGCAGATCCTCGATTTTGATTGGCTAACGGCCGAGAATCTTCAAAATTTTGGCCCGCATTACATAATTGTTTACTAATTTCTGGCCGGAATTAACCTTTTAATTTTTTAATAACAAAAATAGAAATCTTTTAAAAATAAGCCCGCATTACGGTAAAATTAGCTCGAGACGAATTTCACTTAATGAGCGGCTGCGATTTCATTAGTAAAATTATGAGTAATTCCGGCCTAATTTTTTGATCGTCGGCTCTTAGCCAATCAAAATCGAGCATCTGCTACGCATTTTTAAGATCAGTGTGTAACATATAAATGCGAAGTAAAAAATTAGAGGGAAAAAAACAAGAATCACAAAAAACTCATAAATTCGCAACGGAAATTAGCTTTTTGCTATTTATAAATTTTTCGGCACAAAAATTTAGAAATGCAAACATTAATTTTTAGACAAAAATTAAAGATATTATTGTTTGATTAGCCACAGGGCCGCCAAATTTTTGTGCCATAGCTTTTCACTTAGCATCTTGAAATTAATGATATTAAAACTTAAAATTATAAAGCAAAATCCTTTTAAGCAAAACATACATTCTCGTTATAGATAGGAAGCTACTAATGTACTCCCTATAAGTGTGCAGGTGTAACGTATCTCAAAACTTTATCTTGAAAAAAAATTTGTACATATGTACGACTTTACAATTAAGACTTTCTAAACCAAACTAAGCTTTAAATTTTCGACATCGAGCTAATCAAATGATCAGAAACTTCAATTAGCAATGTCTAATAGGTGGGTTATATTAATCTTTGATAATAAAACGTCAATAGTAATAAAAACTATTTTATAATGAATTTACAGCTTGCTCACTGTTCCTGGCGTTAAAAACACGCAAGTAGATATTGATAAACTTACAACTGAAATTAAGAATGTTTGTAAAGAGAAGCACCTTCTTGATTCTAAAGTATGGTTAGAAAAAGTTATCCAACTTTATCAAGTCCAAGTTACTCATCATGGTCTTATGATGATTGGACCATCCGGCTCTGGTAAGTTGAGTAATGATATCTTAATAAATTCTTTCTCATTCATTATTATTTCTTGATTTTTAGGAAAATCAATGACATGGAAAGTATTGCTTCAAGCTTTAGAACGTGTTGAAGGATGCAAAAATGTTACTTACATTATTGATCCTAAAGTTATGTCTAAAGATGCACTTTATGGTAATTTAGATCAAAAAACTAATGAATGGAAAGATGGTTTATTCACTCATATTTTGCGTAATATTATTAAACATGTTTGTGACAAAATTTTCAAAAGACATTGGATTATATTTGATGGCGACATTGATCCAGAATGGGTTGAAAATTTGTATGTATCATCCGAAAAATTTTATAATTGTCTATATAATTGATCATTAGGTTGCTTTATAAATTATGAATTATTAATAGAAATTCTATATTGGATGCTAAACGGTTATTAACTCTTCCTAATGGTGAATGCTTAAATCTTCCAACTAACGTCCGCATTATGTTTGAATTAGAAAATGTAAAATGTGCCCCATCAATTACCATCAGTCGTTGTGGTACTGTGTGGTTCTCATCGGTATGTAATTATTAATGCAGTAGTATTAAATAATATTTCAGACGTTCTCATCACTCATTTTAAAATTTGTAGGAAGTAGTTACCCTTGAAATGATTTATTATAATTATTTGGAAAAATTAAAATACATTCCTTTGGATGATGACAAAGAAGTTGTATCTTCTATTTGTAAAGTTGAGAGTAGAGAAAAGACAGCCTCGCCGCATCTTAGCATACAATATGCAATCTCTAATATGCTTAGTAAGCATATGACTAAAGATGGATTAGTTACAAGAACTCTCATGCAAGCAGGAAAATTCGATCATATTATGGACTTTACTTATATGCGGGTGCTTAATACACTATTTTCATTACTAAACAAAGCTGTTTGTAATGTAATTGAATATCACATACAACATCCTAATTTTCCAATGACAGCAGAACATTTAGAGAAATATGTGACAAAACGACTAATTCTTTGTGTTATTTGGAGCTTCTCTGCAGATGCTAAGTTTGATCATCGCGTTGAGTTATGCAATTTTGTTTGTGGAATAACTACAGGTAAATAACATTGTGAATTTAGTTCTGTCTGCTTTCTTATGCATTTATACCTTATTATTTTAATTTCATTTTAGTCGATTTACCTCATGTATCAACGGGTTCAATCTTAATTGATTATGATGTTCAAATCAATAATTGTGAATGGATATTATGGGCTGACAAAGTCCCAACCATTAAAATTGAATCTTTTAACTTATCAATAATCGTTCCTACAGTTGATACCATCCGTTACCAAGACATATTATACTCTTGGCTTTCAGAATACAAACCTCTTTTATTATGTGGCCCACCTGGATCTGGAAAAAAATTTATTTTATTTAAAAATATTCGATCAATATTGTGAATATCATAAGACTCCAAATGGTGTTATTTTGTCACCAATTGCCATTGGGTACAGACTTGTAATAATTTGTAATGAAATCAATCTTTCTGTAACCGATCAGTATGGTACTCAAAGTGTAATCTCTTTCTTGAGGCAATTGATTGAATGTGGTGGTTATTGGAGAATGTCAGATAAAGCATGGGTTAAGTTAGAACGAATACAATTTGTTGGAATTTGTAATCCTCCAACTGACCCTTACCGTGCGCCGTTATCTCACAGATACCTTCGTAACACTCCATTAATTATGATGGATTGTCCAAATGAAATTTCACTTAATCAGATTTATGGGACCTTTGCTCGTGCCATGTTAAAAGTCGTTCCTTCACTTAAAGAATATGCTAAACCATTGACAGCTTCGATGGTTGAATTTTATCTAATGATTAAAAAACGGTTTACTCCAGATATTCAATCCCATTATATTTACTCTCTCCGTGAATTGACTAAATGGATGAGAGGTATATTCGAATCAATTAAACCTATGAAAGTTCTTAATGTTGACGGTTTGATACGTATTTGGGCGCATGAAGCTTTGCGATTATTCCAGGACCGTCTTGTCACTGATGAAGAAAGGAAATGGGTAGACGAAAAAATTGATTACATTGCTATAAACCATTTTCCAAACTTGAACAAATCTGAAGCTTTGCGTCGTCCAATTTTATTCTCTAGCTGGCTATCCAAAAATTATATCTCTGTTGAATATGAAGACTTACATGATTATGTTAAAGCTCGTCTCAAAATCTTTAATAAAGAATTGGACGCCTCATTAATTTTGTTTGATGATTTCATGGATCATGTTCTCCACATTGATCATGTATTTAAACAAATGCAAGGGCACTTACTTTTAATTGGTGTAAGTGGGTCCGGTAAGACTATTTTGTCTAGATTTGTTGCTTGGATGAATGGATTAAGTGTATTCCAAATTAATTCGCATAACAAGTATACTATAGATAATTTTGATAACGATTTAAGAACAGTCTTAAAAAGGGCTGGTTGTAAAGGGGAAAAAATTTGCCTTATAATGAATGAATCAAGCATACCATATTCAAGTTATTTAGAGCGTATGAATACTCTCCTTGTTAATGCTGAAGTCCCTGGATTATTCAAAGGTGATGAGTATAATGCTTTAATAACAAATTGTAAAGAGGGTTCTCAAAGGGATGGATTAATGATAGATTCTTCAGAAGAATTATATAAATGGTTCACACTTCAAATAATGAAAAATTTGCATATTGTATTTACAATGATTCCTCCTGAAGATGGTCTCGCTTCTCGTGCATCAAAATTTCCCGTTCTTTTCAATTGTTGTGCTTTAAATTGGTTTGGCGATTGGTCTGATCAAGCACTCTTTCAAGTAGGCATGGAACTCACCCAAAATTTGGACTTGGACCATCAAGCATATTCAGCTCCTAGCAATTTCCCTATTATGTATAGACAATTTCCTTTGCCGCTTTCATCTCGTTCTGCCGTTATGAATGCATTCATTTTCGTCCATAAGTCCCTTTATGAAATTAATGTAAAATTAAACAAATGTCAAGGTCGTTATAATTATGTTACCCCGTGTCATTATTTGGACTTTATCACCCATTATGTACGATTATTCAGTGAGAAACGTAAAGAACTTGAGGAACAGCAACGTCATTTAAACATTGGATTAAATAAATTAAAAGAAATTAATAGTCTTCGTAACGATATGAACATTAAGTTTAAAGAGCTTCAAAAAAAGGAATATGAGGCTAATGAACTATTCAAAAAATCGCTTGACGAACAAAACGACGCTGAAAAACGCAAAAAAGATTTAAAGGAAATTTTACTTGCTCTCGAAGTCCAAAACGAAGGAATTGAAGAACGTCGAATATTTTTAATTGATGAATTGGCCAAAATTGAATTGGCTATTGAGGATGCCAAAAAGAGTGTAAGAGGTATCACAAAACAACAGCTTATTGAAATACGTGCAATGAACAATCCT